CGGCAGGTTCGAGATACTGTCGCTGGCGGGATCGTTCCTGCCGGCGCCGGCTCCGCCGGGGGCGACGAGCCTGAGCATTTACCTCGGCGGCGGGCAGGGGCAGGTGGTGGGAGGGAGTGTGGCCGGAGAGTTGACCGCGGCGGGACCGGTGATTGTGATCGCGGCGTCGTTCACCAACGTGGCTTATGAACGGTTACCGTTGGAGGAAGAAGAAGAAGAAGAAGAACATGTTGAGATTGGAAACAAGAATATTAATAATAATCATCATCATAATAATAATAATCCCTTTCCTGACCCTTCCTCGGCACTTCCTTTCTTCAATTTGCCAATGAATAACGTTCAGTTACCTGTGGATGGCTGGGCGGGAAACTCAACTACACGTTCACCCTTTTGATCACTACTCTTAAACGGTGTCTTTTGCTCCTCTCTCTTCATTCTTCAATCTTAATCTAATCATCTGCATCTTCCCAACATCGCAACTAGGCCTTTCTTCGCTTTCAGGTCAGCCAATTCATGGAGAATATATATCATCTGCTTCTTCTTGTTCTCTTTTTTCTTTTTCATGTTAAGAAGGATGTGTTAAGTTGCCTTTAATTAATTTCTGTACCTTGTTCTATTTAATTAGTTTAGTTTTGGTTTTCTTTTCTTTACTATGTATATCACACGACTAATTTCTTGTTTCCTTTTCCGGATTGCACTACCTCATACATGTCTCGAGAGTAATATATAACTTTCAACTCGTCTCCCGCTCTATTTTCATATGATCATCTACCAGTCTTGATAAGTTTTCCTCTGCCTCTACCAGTCTTAATAATTAGTCTTGATAAGCTCTAACTCTGAATAAGTTTAGAAAATGGTAAAATAATTTATATAAAAAGTTTGATTACTTTTTCTCCTTGATTCATTTTATTTCCTAATTTTCTAGAATGTATAAGATGAACCTTCAAATTTTCTTATATATCATCAATTCATATCGGCAGGCTATACAATGAAAACATATTAGAAAGCCAGTTCTGCTGGCTACTACTGTTAATCTTTTGGTAATACATTTAATCTGATGAAGGAAAAATTAACGAGTTATTTCCGCCTGCCGACATTTCACCCTAATTAACGTAAAACTTGCATCAACTATCTTATTGTGATGAAATTACACTCCAAACAGCTATATATCTTTTAGGAGAAGCGTTTCAACCAGACAATGCTTGAGAGATAGTAATTACCCTCTACATACTGAAGTGGCCACCCCGATCCGTTTGGTTAGTTCATTTTCTTAATTACATTGAAATGGTTAGGAATGCTCACGCATGCTAGTTTTCAAGATAATTATAATTAAATGGTGCGATTGGTTGCATTCTAAGCCCTATTTTCTGTCTGGAATTGCTCTGATATTACGATATCTGACCTTATTTTTGAGTAGCTTGAAGGGGGTTGATTAGAAGTTATTTAATTATTATATTTATGCGTAGATGAGGAAATTATAAGTGTAGGTTGGATAAGGAAGCTAGGTTTCCGGCGCTCCACGACTTAAATATTGCAAAAATGTTAATATTTCAGTTTATTGTTGCTTAAATTATTGTCCACTTAATATAGTGGCTTGCGTTTCCGATGAACAAAGTGGAGGCTTTGCGCGCTGAGTGAAGCCGTACCATGCTTCGTTGTCTTCGTAGAATTGCATATTGATTCCATCAAAGCTCTTCAACTTTGCTTTTATGCTGGCCATTAATAGAAACCAGTCTGTGCATGTCATTGTGAGAACCAGCATTTTGAGACACCTTGTGCATGTTGAGCCTGCAGGTTACATATTATTAATGATATTCAGTTTTGTCTATAAATAACTAAGAGATTCTTTGCTGCAGAATTCTGCATTTCACGATGAATTAATATTTCGTGGCATTCCCTTCTTTCATTGTAGAATAAAAGATGAAGGTAAAAACATGTTTGTTAGAATTGAATATAAATAAATCTCTATTAATATTACTTTATTAATGTTTAATTTGCGTAAATTAATTTTAGCTAAATTGCTTTCGGTATCTTCACCAATTTACACCAACAGTTGCGTGCGTGTGATGGATAATTGGAAGGTAATGAGCTACTTGTCTAGTAACCGTTTGTAAGTGTAGTCGGAGAACATATACAAGTAAAGAACATCTGAAATAATGTTTATTTAGGAAAAGTCACATTCCAATACAAGTTATTTTTTTATTATCAACTTTAGATACATTATGGAACATGGTTAGCTAGTATTTTGCACTTATATCAGTATAAATTAAATCTAACCAGCATATATGTATACTTTGACAGCTATGATTTGCTTTTTTTATATTTTTTTATATGGGTTCATCGTATCCTTGTACTTATATAATATATTGCTTATTTGTTGATAAAAATATATATATATTAAAAAAACATTATGGCTATGATCATGGGAAAAAAAATTACTTAAAACGTTCGTGTTTCTTCCGAGTTTTGTTTTCGAAGAGGAAAGTCTCCCTTCCGAGAGTTTTGTTTTCCAAGAGTGAAGTCTCCCTTGAAAACGTACGTGGAATTTTATTTTACATGTTCACCAAAGGGGAGTATAAGATAGTTGAAAAGAAAAGACCCAATGCATTTTATAATTAAGATAATTAAGATACTCCAATGTTAAATGAAGGAAATGTATTCTTATTAATTCATACCCTTGTAACCATCAAACAACTTTTATAAAAATAGAATGTTAGACTAGACAAAACTCATTAATATATAGAGTTAATCATGCATATATTGTCGGTGTAAAGTTTTTTATACTGGCAACCAATCAAATTTTTTAAATTATTTTATTCTATTTTTATTTTATTAAATAAGTAATTGACATGATACTATTAAAAGATATAATTGGTTGTCAGTATAAAAAAAATTTTATACTAATAATGTATAAATGATTAATTCTAATATATATAACATTCAATCATTCTTGCATAAGTTTCCCACGCTAGAGAAGATGAAATTAATATCACTAACTCTTAATCTTTTACATGAAGACCTTTAAAACCTTTACGTGAATACCTTAAATTACTATTTAGATATCTTAAAAGTGAGATAATTAAGAAATCTCCAATTCTGTGTGGACTATCGAGTTTTAGGATAGGATGAAAAGTTTCTTCAATTTCGGAAAAACTGATATTCTTGATACATACCAATTAAGAACTTATATGTTTTATCAATTCTTTTTTTTTTCAAAATTAAATTTAAAACCTGTCCATCCGAACTTTAATATTAAAGCATATCCAATGGAAAATATATGTAGTATATCTTACTAATAAACAACTATTTTTATTAGTATTTTTTTATTGGAATTTGATGACATAATATAGAAAATTATTTAAAAAATAAATAACAACTCTTAAATAAAAAATATTATTTATGAATTAAAACAAAACTCGTTTGATTTTTTCAATAAAGAACAAGAAATACAAATCACTCCCACAAATAAAAAAATAGATATACATCATCAATTCTTCATCATTTATGAATAAAAAAAACTAGTTATCTATCATTGTTATATATTTTTCATGATTATTTTTTTTTTACTTTTAATATTTAATATTTAATATACGAATGAAATTAATTGTGTACATTTTATTATTATTTTTATATTAAAATATTATTTATTATGTTTAATTAATTTTCAATCATTATATATTTTTTATGGTTATGTAATTTTTTAATTTTTAATATTTAATATCTTTTATATGTATGAAATTAATTATATGAATTTTATTATTAATTTGTATATGTTAAAATATTTAATTATAATAATTATATTAATTTTTTAAGTTGTAAAAAATAAAGTGTAAATATAAAAATTATAGACATGTGAATTATAAAATTTCATCATTGAAACCAAATTTATAAAAATATAATATAAATTACATAAGAATAATGTCACATAGTAATCATTCTTAGTAAGTTACCGCCAAGAATCATCCGGATAGGATAAATTCATAATTAAGAGCTGCTTCAATTTTGTCAAGGCCGAAAGGGGAAGTTAACTTTCATAATATCATTTTGACTGCTGAGTTTAACTCCATATATCCAGTTCAGAGGTCTTCCAAAGTATGAAAGAAGAGTTCGTATCTCCTTCTTCAAGATAGCATGATCTGAATTTCTTATTATAAGTCAAACTTTCTTATTTTTCAAAGTCTGCAATGTAGACCGAAAAAATACAGAAATTGGTCAGGGAGAGGGAGCTAGATAAAGTGCATTGATGATAAATTTAATTTATTTTTTATTATCCTTATCCAATGACGGCTGTACACATTTTAGATTTGTATTTTTCTTTTAAACGAATGAAACAACTAATTAAGTTATTAAATCGCATAAGTATCCGGAAATAATTCCACAAAAAAAAATTATAATTTTATATATAAATGGCTTTATCTCGAGAGAACATATTCCAGCTTTATGAAAATCTTAATTATTATAATATTATGATAAAGGTTAACGACGAAGCCGACAATATATAGAAGAGGTATACGACACCTGAAGGGTGGTTGGGAAGAAAGATTCCTGTTCCTGTCAATTAGCATAAACAAATTGGTGCAAGTGTGGTCAATAATTAAGTGAGAAAACAGATAATAAGGTTTAATAAAGGAATCATATTGACTAAGTCTTATGTGCAATAATATATTTCATTCTAATGCTTACACCCATTTGTTTCTAAGCTGTCAACTTCTTAATTTTATACACATTTCCATATAATATAATAATATCATATAGAGCAGCTGAACTTTATATTTCATAAACAAAACAATAACCACGTGGACTATTTATTAATAATTTATAATTTATAATAATAATGATGATAATAGACTTTTTTTGTGTACATATTTCTTTTTAGACTATTTTAGCTTTTATAATTCTTTCTAATCCACTTATATAAATGTTTCTTTCTAAATTTCCCTTATTTCATAAGTAGTCACTCATGTACTTTTCATAAACAGTCCTTAAATAATTCATGAAAGCATAAAATGTTTTTTATATGTTAATATAAATTAACATAATGTTGTGGTACAGCGGGCATAATGAATGAGGCCCAAATGATAATGATGTCAAAGTACTACGAAGTAGTTTTTGAGTCTACCAATCAAGCATAATCAAATTAAAAATGGCATCAGGGTAAAATGAAATTAAGGCATGATATGTTTTATTGCTATATACATTGCAGCGTGAGCAAGAACTTAATGATTTTATGTTATAATATTTTGGTAATGATGTTGTCGTTACTCCAAAAGGTGCTACATATTGAGTTGGTTAACATGTTTACAATATCCACAAATAATATGGCCGGAAGTAATCATAAGTATATACTAAATAATAATATAGTAATCTGTTGTTTTAGAAAGATAAGTAAATAATAGAATGTTAAGACTTAAGATGTCATATTTATATCAGTACCTAGTTGGTATATATTTAGTTCTTTTAGTATGGTTAATTAATGTCTTTAAATTTTTGTGATTTATATACAGATAAAGTTTTGTTAGGAGATATTATACTTAATTATTTTAGTTTGGGACTATAATTAACTGAAGGATAAACTTAATATGAAAAAGAAATGAAGTTTGATTAAGATAGTGATATGAATTATTGTAGAATTGTAGAACCATACTAGCAAAGAGGATGGCTAACTAGAGGTGGGTTTTGGCTCGGGAGATTTAGAAAAATACTTAGATTTTTAGATAGATCAATATTGCTAATCGGTTTAGATTAATTTAATTTTTTCCATTTTCTTTTGGCTACTTGAATTGAAGCAAATCAATCATATTTGGTTGGACAGATTAGGCGCTCATGTTTATCAATAAAATATTTTAAACTGGAAAAAAATGAAAAATAGAAAATCATAATACAATAAAAAAAATTTAGCTAATTAACGAATAGTCTCATAAATCAAAATTATAAAATTAAATAGCATAAAAATCATATAATTATAAAATTGCACAAAATAAAAATTCCTAAATATTTAAAATTTGTATATGTTCGTGTTGGTTGGGATCAGATTATGCATCCAAATTTGGTAACATAGCTTCAAATTTTCTCTTTCAATTTGGTTCAAACTGAATGGGTCATTGGGTTGTCCTAGCCCCATGACCACCCCAGTGCTAACAACGCACTTTTTTATACACTTTTAATTATTTGTTAAATTTTATTATAAACTATAAAATTGTAAGTAATGTTTGTTAAATTACAAATAAGACACACAAAGTTATAAGTTTTAGCAAATTTTAATCAATAATAAAGAATATTATATATATATATATGATAAACAGTGTATTACTAACGTTTCTTGCTAGCAACATGATGTTGAGATATCGATGATTATGTTCAATGATTCCATCTTTTCTAAAATGTTTAATTACAATTCCTATGGACATATTTTTAACATAGTTGATATATATTTTTGAGTGTTTTATATATATAAAAAAATTGTATAACTTATTAAAATGAATTAAATTCTAAAAAAAAATTAAGAATAACATATCTTTTTCCTTTCAGAAAAAGGAATATTGAGTTACTTTCATAAAATGTATTCTGAGGTAATATATGAAGATGATTTGCTTGAGGACACTTGACAATTACAATCAATATTACAAACAAAAACTTATTCATAGGAAATAAATATCTAACAAAATAAATAAACAAATAAATAATAAAATGATTATATAAATATGGAAATTAAAAAAAAATTGCAATATGTCTCTATAACTCATTATTTTCGTGTTTTCCCTTTTTGTAGTAAATTGTGTAGGCGGAGACATGATGGCTGTACTAGAATTTTCGGGTTCAAAAATATAAGATAATTACTTCCTGCACCAATTATTATTATTTCGGAATGGGTGTTTCATAATACATTTGATAGGTGTATGATATAATAAGTTGGGTACAGGAAACAATTTCCAAAATATAGGTAGGTGGGCAAGAAAGAACAGCTTGCAGAGCCCAGTCACCCAATTTGCAAGTACAATATTGGGCCCGATTGTGGACCCCTTTTTCTTTCATACGGACAATATAGATTTCATAATGAACTAAATGTCCTTAAAATGGGCCTATTATCTTGTCCACACTGGTTCCAGGGCGTTCTACTTCCCTTAATTTAGCCCAGAAGACAAGTGAGGATAAGGCCCCTTGCTTTCGTAAAAAAAAAGCCCAAATGAGAAAAAAGGTGTATAAATTCTTTCATTTTCAATTGTAGCCTAGTAAAAAGTATATATATATATATATATATATATATATCAACAATAATAATATTTTAAGTTAACTTTTTAAAATGTCATATATATTCAGATGAAAGATGTAAAAGA